GAGCCCAGCAGAGACCCCCAGCTCTGCACCAGAGAAAAAAAAATACAATATTGGGACTGGGAAGGTTAGTGGCGCCATCTACAATATTGGGACTGGGAAGGTTAGTGGCGCCATCTACAATATTGGGACTGGGAAGGTTAGTGGCGCCATCTACAATATTGGGACTGGGAAGGTTAGTGGCGCCATCTACAATATTGGGACTGGGAAGGTTAGTGGCGCCATCTACAATATTGGGACTGGGAAGGTTAGTGGCGCCATCTACAATATTGGGACTGGGAAGGTTAGTGGCGCCATCTACAATATTGGGATTGAGCTCAGGACTTATGTAAATGAACACGCTCCCTATTGGCACTTATTTATAACAATTCCTGCAGGTGAAGCGTGAATCGCGATGGCACGTGTGTGTACTTTAATGGTAGCCAGTGTTTGTGCAGAATGGGAGCTGCGCGTATTAGTAACAAGACCACCGGACTTAACATTTCCCATGTAGCTCACCGAGGTCTATAATGTCCTTTACTGGGAGCAAGTTTCATTAAAATGGTTCGGAGCTTCCTGGTATCCATAGTAAGGCGAGGCGCCAAGCACGGGAACAACATTTGAAGCCTCTCTCAGCAGAAATGGCCGATATTGTGTTCATTTTAGACCGGACGGCCCTGAACTGGACAGATCCAGGGAAACCTTGGCACAGAGGAAGTCTTGCATGGAATCCTATAGGAAAGCAGAAAAGTTATGAAGACTTTATGCGAGCATCCAGAATACTGGTAGCTTAAGAAGCCCGGCTACAGACGATGGATTGCCAGGTCCCAAACCATCCTTCCATAGGTCAGAAGCCTCTGTTGAAAAGCAGAGACGTAGGAAGCACAAAACCAGAAATAACCCGGGGATGCGGGGATGGCCAAATCATATTCAGCCAAACCGATATTTCCCGACATGACAAAAAGCCACCAAATTCGTCCCTTCTCCATTCCTGTAGCAGCCATCATCCGGCCTTCCAAAGATTTCTTTGGTCACGGGGCTTTTCAGTCAAACGTTTTAATCTTAAGCCCGCTCATAATAGTTATTACATTTTGGTTGGCTCTGAACACCTACTAGCTTGTTAAAAGGTCTCCAAAACCAAGCAAAGACCCCAATTCTGCTCCAGAGCCCAGCAGAGACCCCCAGCTCTGCACCAGAGCCCAGCAGAGACCCCCAGCTCTGCACCAGAGCCCAGCAGAGACCCCCAGCTCTGCACCAGAGCCCAGCAGAGACCCCCAGCTCTGCACCAGAGACCCCCAGCTCTGCACCAGAGCCCAGCAGAGACCCCAGTTCGGCACCAGAACACAGCAGAGACCCCAGCTCTGCTCCAGAACCCAGCAGAGACCCCAGCTCTGCTCCAGAGCCCAGCAGAGACCCCAGTTCGGCACCAGAACACAGCAGAGACCCCAGCTCTGCTCCAGAGCCCAGCAGAGACCCCAGCTCTGCTCCATTGCCCAGCAGAGACCCCCAGCTCTGCTCCAGAGCCCAGCAGAGACCCCCAGATCTGCTCCAGAGCCCAGCAGAGACCCCAGCTCTGCTCCAGAGCCCAACAGAGACCCCAGCTCTGCTCCAGAGCCCAGCAGAGACCCCAGCTCTGCTCCAGAGCCCAGCAGAGACCCCAGCTCTGCTCCAGAGCACAGCAGAGACCCCAGCTCTGCTCCAGAGCCCAGCAAAGACCCCCAGCTCTGCTCCAGAGCCCAGCAAAGACCCCCAGCTCTGCTCCAGAGCCCAGCAGAGACCCCCAGTTCTGCTCCAGAGCCCAGCAGAGACCACCAGCTCTGCTCCAGAGCACAGCAGAGACCCCCAGTTCTGCTCCAGAGCCCAGCAGAGACCACCAGCTCTGCTCCAGAGCCCAGCAGAGACCCCCAGTTCTGCTCCAGAGCCCAGCAGAGACCACCAGCTCTGCTCCAGAGCACAGCAGAGACCCCCAGTTCTGCTCCAGAGCCCAGCAAAGACCACCAGCTCTGCTCCAGAGCACAGCAGAGACCCCCAGTTCTGCTCCAGAGCCTAGCAGAGACCCCAGTTCTGCTCTCATTTCCCCAACCATGACAAACCTCACCTGGCTTCAGCAGGGTTTTGCTCAGAGTACACTGTGCAGAGTTCTCTGTGCGTTTCTAAGGAGCATGCAAGTGAGGAAAGCCAGCACTGCCACAAGGTATAAAAGCAAAGGAGTCGGTTACTACAATTCCTCTTCTTAAAAATGCTCCTCACCTTCAAGTGGAGAAAATAAAACTCTTCTGAACCCTAAACTGTGACCAGAGATAAAACATTTCCTGGAGCGGCTAAAGGCTGAAAAATACAGTAACAATTTCTATACAACCCATACTGCGTTTAGTACGGTGCTCAATGTTGTCACCTGTGTGCAGACTCCTTTGGTCACAGTGGTGATGACGGTTTGGCTTCCGCTTTTACTATAACCGGTTCTCCTTGCGGACACAGGGTACAATTTACAGACTGGAACAACGAAGCTCAACTGGCAGCACAGGTTACATTTACTGGTGGACCAGCATTGGATATTGTTTATCCTTCGCATTGCTCCCAAGTATCACTATGTACCACTTTATGGGACTCAACCATCCATTGTCATGCGTCCGGCAACTGCTGAACTTCCAAGTGAAGCATCATGAGGTGACTGCCGTTTCTAACATTCTGTGGAACGGAAAAGATTGCGGGACCCTATTCGGGTTCCCATCGAATGCTGGACAATCTGTTAGGCCCGTGTCCAGGAGCCAGCAAACTTTTTGTTCAAAACAAAATATCACAAAGCATTAAAGGAGAACTATGGGGTCAGTGCTTTTCCCCATAGTTCTCCCAAGGGTCACGGGAGGACACAAACTAGCATTCTCATGTGATCCAAAGCTCAGTATATAGCGAGCTACAGCTCTCAGTAAACTGAGACGCCACAGCCGGAACGGATCCCAACATTGCTGTCGAGATCCACCCAGCTATGGGATTGACAGCTGGCTCTGCCTATCCAGAGGCAGAGCCAGCTTTGAACACCCCCTCCCCCGTCCATTCCGCCAGTCAGCGCTGGAGAATCGGACAGGGGAATCCCTGCAGGGAGCTGTGAGTGATAGTCACGGCTCTCTGCAGGGATAGATCAAGTAGTGAGCGAGCGGCGGTACGTGTTCTCTCACTTCCCGATCTACTGAGCCGACCTGTGACAGTTTCATTGTCACAGGTCGGCTCAGATTATGAGGCTGAATGCAAATCACTCACCTCATAGTTCTCCTTTAAGGTCTGCCAAATAGTCTAGCCACCGAATCCCATACGCAGGACAGAAATATACATTCACAATGTGAAATAGAAGGACGTTTAATGTGCCATAGAAACAAATAAACCAATTTTGTTCAAAAATACACACAAGACATAGAGCCCTGTGGCAGGCCACGCCCCTTCTCTCTTTGATTGATGGAAGGAGCCCCCCTCACGCAACCAGGAATTTCGGGGAATGGAGGACGGCTTTTGGACCGGCGGTGTGGACAAGCGTAGCTGACAGGTAAGTGTGTGTGTGGGAGAAAAAAGGTGCTGGGCCGTTTTTACCCTAATGCAGAGAATGCAATAAGGTAAAAAAAATCGCCCAGACCTCAATATTACTTTAACTGGTAACAACAATGTATCTTATTTGTGTATCACTCGGCTGTAGATCCTCCAATCATCTCTGAATTGGTGCCGACACTGTCCTTCCTTCTGGAGGGGGGCGACGTCTGTTCCCCATGGTCCCTGTGTGTGTTGTAAAGTTGTCACCACTCCAAGCTCCGCCCCCGGGATGGACTACAATCTCAATACAAATCAGTAAACTACACATGAGATTGTCCATCCCGGGAGTGAGCTTGGAGCGGTGACTACTTTACAGCACACACAGGGACCATGGGGAACAAAAGTAGCCCCCCTCCAGAAGGAAGGACAGTGTCAGCACCAATTCAGAGATGATTGGAGGATCTACAGCCGAGTGATACACAAATAAGATACATTGTTGTTCAGAGTTAAGGGACTTCAATGTATGTTACCTCCTGAGTTTGGTGTCACTTTAAAGTGACGTTAAACCCTCAGATTTTTTAACATAAAACAATACTGTAGAAGGTTTTAAATCCGTAAAAAAGTTACTTTAAACAAAATCAGTGTATTCGTTTCTGTGGCACCCGCTATTTCCCATTGTGAACGTATGTTTGCGCGTTCAAACCGATGGCAAAATAAAAGCAAACATTTAGCAAATATTTTTGAATATTAAGTTTGCTGGTTTCCAGACACGCGTGTAACATGTTTTTTATATGTGCAATTGTTGCTGCAGCTGGGCAAGGTCTGAGGCCAGTACCAGGGAGGAGGAAGGTCGGGTCCCCCCCTATGCGGCAGGGGTTATTTATCCATAATAAGGCCAGACTGGCGGGTTGCTAAGATCTTGGCGGCGCAGAATCCTGGAGACTTTATACAACTGGAGGGTCATCCAACTCATCCATCATCTTCTGCGCGCCGGCAAAACAAAAAGGTTTCCTTCCGTTTCTCAGCAAATTGCTTACGAAGGAAAACGCTGGTTATGCTGGGAGGTCAGAAAAGGTCACATAGATCTGGAAATGTCTGCACCCGATCCCGTCAGGTTCATCAACCATCACGCCAACGCTGGAAGGTGCAGAGTTTGATACTTCATCACTGGAGGAAAAACCGGGCTGCATGAAGCCGACGTAACCCAGGCGGTGCGGCGGTCGCCCGGCTCAGGCGGTACAGCCGGGGGAAGGAGGTAGTGCTTTGAGCGGGCAAGGTCGATGGCATTCCATGGTAGCAGTGTAGTCAAAATTTGGAAGCATTTCACCGAGTAACAAAAACTAAAAAAAACCCACAAAAACAGGAATACTGAAGAAAGTAAAATCAAAACTGTCCACGATCCGCGGCTTGACTGCACCAGCTTCCGGCAGAAGCTACGTTCGGCACTTTGTAGAATTGTGTGTTTCATTTTAAATATGTAAAAAAGTATCTAATGAGGATTCTTGAAGGCACTTTTTTTTTTTTTTCCGTTGGCCCACAAAGGGGCCGTAGCATTGGCAGAAGTCCGGAGTACACTTAGTCCTGGTGGTCTTCCGGGTGTTCCCAGGCTTTGCTCTCGAGTTTGGCGTTTACGGAGATTTGATTTTCTTCTGTCGAGGTGTGGAACCGTTCTCTGCTTTAAGCAGTCCGTTTTCGTGATAACCTAAAAAAAAGAACGCAGCGGATGTTAGAAATAAAGAAAGGACGTGTGTGGTTTTTAGAGCCCGTTCACATTGAGCGGTTCGCAAATCGCGCGATTTGCATTTTGCGCAATATCGCGCAAATGCTTGCATTGAGCAAGCTTGAATCGCGGCTAAATCCGCTCCAAAAAGGGTCCTGCTGTAGCGACACACGACCCGCGACAGCAGGACCCTTTGCCCCATTGAGAAGCATTGGAGAGCGATATCGCGCGGTAAATTGCCGCGATATCGCGGGAATTACCGCGCGATAAATCGCTCAATGTGAACGGGGTCTTATAGTAGATTGTATATGTGAATATTGTCCTCATGTCTCTCACTGTCAGGATTGCTGGGCTATGCTCTATGGGGCGTAGCCAGGATTAATCGGCAGACGCGGCCGCTGTGCACAGAGATCTCCGCCGGCGAATGGTCCGTGTGCTATGTGCGGGGCTGTGGGCCGGGGGAGATTAAATGTGCATTGCGGAGCGGTGTCCTCTTTGCGAGTGTATGGACGCCGGCGAGGGCCCCTGTGTAATGCGCAGAATTATTTCGCTTGGCGTGGATGCATTTGTTTTGAGAACACGGCATCATTTGGATACATATCTGCCTTTATGAAAGGAACATACGCTTGTGTCTTTTTGGTGTGTCTGATCAGCACATTGGAAATAATATGGCGTGTTCCCTGCAGATAAACTCACATTCATAGGAACCGTAGTATAATCCTATTAGGCGGTGTTCACTGAACAATGCCTAGTAGAACTCGCGCCAGTGGCTGGAGTATTTGCGCAAATCTGATCGGAAAAACGGCCATAGTTAAAATGCTCTGTGTAGTGTTTTGGCGGGAACTCCAGAGCACATGCTTTTCTATTGTTAACTAGTGTGCACGGAATTCACATGCACTAGCAGCTGGAAGGTGTGCACATTGCTTCTGCTCATGCACAAGCATACACTCCCCTTTCTATTGTCTATTCCAATGTATACATGTTTCTCATTGGCTGACTCTGTGTTATGTAAATGTATTGAGGAATTCATCGGCTGCTATAAATAAACGGATCTCAATACATTAGATAGGACTGATACTGAGCATCCAACGTGAGAACCGCCTGTGTCTGGTTTTTTTTACTTGGGGCCGATGAGTGCGCTCGATGAAATTATGCAAAAGGGAGCTGAGAACTGTGCTTTTTAGCGCAGCGGATTAATATGCGCAGGAGCGTATATCAATTTATTAATTTCCATAACACGTGAAAATAAAATTATAATATATTTATGTGAAACAGGAAATTATATATAAAATATATACAAGTATAGTCAAATTATAAGCCAAAAATTATTAAATCTGACCTCCAGCCTTCCCTCCAGTCTTCTATCTGACCTTCGTCCTCCCCTTCAGTCTTATATCTGACCTCCATTCTTCCCTTTCAGTCTTCTATCTGACCTCCATTCTTCCCTTTCAGTCTTCTATCTGACCTCCATTCTTCCCTTTCAGTCTTCTATCTGACCTCCGTCCTTCCCTTCAGTCTTATATCTGACCTCCAGCCTTCCCTCCAACCTTCCCTTCAGTCTTATACCTGACCTCCGTCCTTCCCTTCAGTCTTCTATCTGACCTCCGTCCTTCCCTTCAGGCTTATATCTGACCTCCGCCCTTCCCTTTCAGTCTTCTATCTGACCTCCGTCCTTCCCTTCAGTCTTCTATCTGACCTCCGTCCTTCCCTTCAGTCTTATATCTGACTTCCATTCTTCCCTTTCAGTCTTATATCTGACCTCCGTCCTTCCCTTCAGTCTTATATCTAACCTCCGTCCTTCCCCTTCAGTCTTATACCTGACCTCCGTCCTTCCCTTCAGTCTTATACCTGACCTCCGTCCTTCCCTTCAGTCTTATATCTGACCTCCGTCCTCCCCTTCAGTCTTCTATCAAACCTCCGTCCTCCCCTTCAGTCTTCTATCTGACCTCCGTCCTTCCCTTCAGTCTTATATCTGACCTCCGTCCTTCCCTTCAGTCTTCTATCTGACCTCCGTCCTTCCCTTCAGTCTTACACCTGACCTCCGGCCTTCCCTTCAGTCTTACACCTGACCTCCAGCCTTCCCTTCAGTCTTCTATCTGACCTCCGTCCTTCCCTTCAGTCTTCTATCTGACCTCCGTCCTTCCCTTCAGTCATGCACAGTGGTGTACCGGCTCCTCTCCTGGACTGAAATGTCTTACTCTGATTGCACTGCACACTGGAAGCTCCTCACAATGTGCTTTAGAAGCAAGCAAGTCAGAAACAGCCCTCCTCATTTGCTGGCTGGAGGATGTCCCCAGCCTGACTGTCCCTGGTTTGTCCCTTTCATTCATTGGATTTCAGTTCTTTCAATCAGGGAGGCTCAGCATTACATATTGGCAATGCCTCGGGTGGTCTGTATGCAAATACAGCCTGCCTAGAACGCCCACATATTTGCATGACCCCCCCCCACAAGCCAGTCCACTACTAGCATCAAGTCTGGCCTGGTACAAAAGGGTGAGTGAATGTTGTCACTCTAGAACAGGAAGTGTGTTACTGGAAGGAAATAAGGGAAGACATCCCGAACAGAGAAAACTAATGCAGCCACCAAATCTAAGTAGTGGTGGATAAGTTTTTGGGGTTTGATGAGCTTTACTGATCCGAGAACTCTAAAGGAAAGTCATTCATCTAGAATTCAGTGTGCGTCTTGTGCCTCAGCTTCCCATTTCTCTTACCTGACTCCCTTTTGAGCACCTTGAGCTGCTGTTTGGGTACGACAGGAGCGACGGCGGTCTTCTTCTTGGCAGCCTGCTCCTTACAAGACTCTCTCCAACGGCGCAGCTGGAAATGAATGAATCGCCACATCATCCACGTCTGTGAAATGCACATCAGGAGAAGTACAATCATCCTGCAGAGACAAGGAGACGTTACAGGCAGCAGGCAAAGCACAAGGCCCGGACCCGATCATAAAGGACAAAAAATGAATGGCAGCTGAAATACCCATTCTCTAGGCTCAGACTATTACAGACAGATGACTACGTGTACATTATGTGTTACACTTAATTCTAGCAGGATCCAGCACCGGGCTACTCTACAGCGTGTGCCTGTTGGCACCTCCAAGTTTTACTGATAAGCACCATGACCAATCAGAAGACGGCTCTCATGATTGGCATGGACTTAAACTGCAAAGCGTTTAAGCGTCCCTGCTGCTTAAACCTTACCCGTTTCCTCATGTCTCAGGCCCTTCGAGCCATAAGCCTGTGTCACCCAGAGACCCCTGAGCATCAACTTTCACCCAGAGACCCCTATCGTTGGCAGGGGATATTTGGGGATCTCTGGGTGACAAGGATCCCAGACATCCCGAGCATCTGGTGTCATCCAGTGACTCAAGTGTGCCTCCAGGGCACACTCACTGCCTGCCTCCAGGGCACACTGCCTGCCTCCAGGGCACACTGCCTGCCTGCCTCCAGGGCACACTGCCTGCCTGCCTCCAGGGCACACTGCCTGCCTGCCTCCAGGGCACACTGCCTGCCTCCGTGACACCAGTGTTTCCATGCAGCCTTAGGTATGCTCCCTCTAATCTCTTGGTCTGTCACTCAGTAGATATGGACTCCGGTCCCTGAAGTACAAGAACAACCATAACTTGTGACCTGAAGTCATGAACGCCTGAGGAAAAAAATATTGATCAATATTCTTGAACTTTTTAGAGAATCTTTTGAAAAAGAAACTCTGAAATGTGGATATTGTATGATGAGGAGCCATCAGCATGAAAGTAGCTCATCCCTCATATTTATACATCCTAAACCTACAATGATATTCCCTAACCTATTGACCCAGCCAGTAGATAAGGGACCGACCACCAAAAATGTTATTACAACAGTTACCCAATGTGCAAATAATCTGTAAATTGCAGTGTTAAAAAGTATTTGCCCCCCCCAAGAATAATCGGCTTACCTGAAAAGTAACGTGTTAAAATTTCCCTTGTCTGGGTTAAAGGTGTGGATCTCCGCCTTGGCGAGGCCAAATCCAATGGTGAGAACGGAAAGGGTGAGTGTAAACAGCCTTGTGACCACGAATACCACCGCCCAGGCATTAAATCTAAAGAACAAAAACACCAAGATCTAATATAATGACCACATAACATAGAATATTGATGCAACGAACCAAGAATCTCTGGGTATTATAGGAAAGCTCAGTGAAAGGGGTTTATAGCATTGTGCAGAGGATTAGGAGGACGACATTTGAATCGATTTATACACACACACACACACACACACACACACACACACACACACACTAAATGGCGAAAAAGTACATGAACACCCCACCAAATTATCCAGTGCTGGCACCGTTTCCACTACAGCATACAAAGACATTTTAAACAATCGTGCTCTTCCACCCTTGTATTAGTTTGGGGAAAGCCCTTCTGCACAAAGCCAGCTCCACAAAAGCATGCTTTAAAGATTTGGGGATGAATTAGAACGCAGTTTGCGAGCCAACATCAATACCTGACCTCACAATTGATCTTTTGGATGAATGAGCACAAATTCCTCGACACACTACAAAATCTTGTGGAAAGCTTTCCCAGAAGAATAAAGGCTGTTATTTCCCCAAATAGGGGGCAACTCCACATTAATACCCATGGCGTCCTCCACAGACCCCCGACCTCAACCCTACTGAACACCTTTGGGATGAATTGGAACCCCACTGCAAACCAGGTCTTCTTTCATCATCATCAATATGAATGGCCACAAATGTAGACAAACACACTCCTAACCACAAAAGGGGGCTGCTCTACATTAATACCCATGATTTTGGAATGGGGTGTCCAACAAACCCCTATAGGTGTGATGGTCATATGTCCACAAACATTGGGCCATATAGTGTATATTTCCACCTTCATGCAATTACACATCAGACGCCTGAGTACGGAAAGCCGCCTTCTACCAAAGTGGTTATTGGAGTAGGTAGGTCTCCAGTCTCAGGTTTTTTTTTACGTCTATGTCCCTGCTAGAGAAATCCCCCTCATTTCCTGTGCGGTCAACACGACTGAAAGTCAAGAAACTCTCTCCAGCAGAGACACAGAGCAATAAGAACCTTCCTCACTTTGCCCTTTACAAAATTTTAGCTGGAGTTACAATTTAATGAGCCATGCCGTACCCGCCATCTAATGAGCCATGCCGTACCCGCCATCTAATGAGCCATGACGTACCCACCATCTAATGAGCCATGCCGTACCCGCTAATCTAATGAGCCATGACGTACCCGCCATCTAATGAGCCATGAAGTACCCGCTAATCTAATGAGCCATGACGTACCCGCCATCTAATGAGCCATGAAGTACCCACTAACTAATGAGCCATGCCGTACCCGCCATCTAATGAGCCATGACGTACCCGCCATCTAATGAGCCATGCCGTACCCGCCATCTAATGAGCCATGATGTACCCACCAACTAATGATCCATGCCGTACCCGCCATCTAATGAGCCATGATGTACCCGCCATCTAATGAGTGTTTTAAATTGCTACTACGCTTATTCAGTGGGAACCATTCTAATGAAGCCTTGTCCACATTGCCGCCACTCTCACGTATGCCCAAAGAGTTTGACCATTACTTACAGTTTCTGATTGTTTTCATCTGTGAAGTAAAAGAGTCTTGCAATATGGAAGAGAAATTCTGATACAGACTGCAATAGCAGCAATATCACCCCCAAGCGGGTCAAGCTGCGGAAATAAGATGATGAATCCAAAGTTAAAATTCACACAATGACGGTATAAAGAGGCAATATAATCACATCTGGTCCCGACTCTGCTGCCCTGTGGGTGGGAGGTGCGTTTGGGGTGTCATTCAAATGAATGGCAACGCAACACACCTCCCACAACGGAATGCATGGTAGGGGACACACAACCACACACAACAAAATATTTATTTATTTTTTAAAGGTCCACCCTGTCTCCATACCTTACGATAACTGTAATGGATCCTCAGCCTGGGGTCCAGTGTGGGCTGCTGTTTTGTGACAGAGCTCCATCCATATGCGCATTGTACAGCTCCCTTGCGGGTCCTGTAGAGGTGCCGGGAGTCAGAATGTGAGGTCACTTCGGTCCAGGCACCTCTACAGGGCACGTAAGGGAGCTGTAAGCAATGCACGTACCAATGGAGCTCCCTCACAGCCATACCTCCAGCACACCCCACCTCAAGCTGACACTCGGCGCCGGGCAGCATATTTTGAATGGCAGCTTGGCGCAAGACCTGACAGTGCAGCACTAGGGGGAGGCAGAGGAGCCTCTCACATGGAAAAGTGGAAGGCACGTGGCGACCCACTAAACACGGGTCTGCGACCTACTTTTGGGTCATGACCCACCAGTTGAGAACCAAGGCTCTAAAGGAACGAGTCTTCCCACTGACCACCAATGTAAGCGCACTGTATGGCCCTACGCTGACTACCAATGTAAGGAGCATTCTTGCCACTGTCCCCCAGATATGGGGGCCCTACACTCACCTTCATTGAAATGAGCCTTTTTCTAATGGACCACCAATGTACTAGGGCATTCAATCCACTGTCCACCAGTGCAAAAAAAACCCTCTCGCTCACCAGCCACGTGGTGTGCATAATGTACCATGAGCCGGGTTCCACCATGCTAAAAAGTTGGAAAGGGCTGGTTTAGGGTCATACATGACCCTTTCAGTACCGTGATAACACCTGACCAGTGTCTCTTCTCCAGTGTAACGTTGCCAGCGGAATCATGGAAATCCCACAAGTTCAAGTCTTCTGATCAAGTGCCAGGGTTAAAAGGAGAAGTATGAGATGAGTGCTTTTCACTCACCTCATAGTTCTAGCCGACCTGTGACAATGAGACTGTCACAGGTCGGCTCAGTAGATCGGAAAGTGAGCGAACACATACCGGCGTTCGCTCACCTCTCGATCCTGAAACAGCTCTCTACCGTGACAGGGGAGGGGCTGGATTCCCCCCTCCCCGCTCCGATCTGCCAGCGCTGACTGGCGGAACGGACGGGGGAGGGGGCGGGTAGAGCTGGCTCTGCCTCTAGATAGGCAGAGCCAGCTGTCAGTCACGCAGCTGTATACTGAGCTTGGGGTGAAGGGAGGACGCTAGTTTGTGTCCTCCCGTTACCCTAAGGAGAACTATGGGGAAAAGCCTTAACCCCATAGTTCTCCTATAAGGCCTGTGTACTCCCCCCGCCCCCGCACTACAACAAGAGAGGGTCCTGTTTGAGTTTTCTTCTTTTTGCATGTCTTTGGTGGTACCCCAACCTGAGATTGAACAGCTGCCCCTTCGGTGTATTAATTGTGAACTTTTGCTCTGGTCCCCTGGGAAGGGAGAAACGTCTGCCAAGCGCTGACCACGTCGGACAATATATATTTATTTATGTTTAGGGGGGAAAAAGCATTACTTTTAGATAGGAGTGTAGAGTGTCTGCGGTTTACTGTACAGGTCCTGTCCAGGGTAAGTGGGAGACACTGAGGCCTTCATCACTTACTTTAGTAAATAGGCCCCTCCGATATGAAGTAGATATAAAACGATGTACTGCAGCTGGCGAGGGATTTCTTCCTGGAATAAACAGAACACATTTCTTTTATTATCATCATCATGACAGTACATGGCAAATGTATCACACGGTACATCATAAGGTGGATCACAGCTACTTCCGGGCCATTCCCTCTGCACCTACACTCTGTTACTGAGTACATTTCACCCTACCTCCCTCTCCCTGAACACAGTCTGCCATCAGACCTTTGCCTTCCCTGGTTGCTCCGTCCCGCTTCATCCATAGTTACATAGTATTTGAGGCTGATTAAAGACATAAGTCCATCCACAGATCACTAAAATTTGTAAAGAAAATCTTTCCAATTTTCATTATATATCGTATTTTAGGCCCAATGACATCATCACTGGGTGTCTCTGCTTTCTCTATGCAATCCAGGCACATTGTGACTGGTGGGAGGAGCCGGTGGGGTGATGTACATAGCTTCCTGAAAACATCACAGCACCCCGTCTCAATACTTCTCTCAAATGATGCAGTGGTTCTGGCTCTTGGGAGGAGTTATGCAAATATCAAAATGCTCATAGGGGTGGGTGTCAGTCTGGAGGAGCGGGCGTTCCTAAGCAGACTGCATTTGCATAAAGACTACCCTAGGGAACGCCCACGTGTAACGGTGAGCCTCAGCAGACTGATTTGCATAAAGACTACCCTAGGGAACGCCCACGTGTAATGGTGAGCCTCAGCAGACTGCATTTGCATAAAGACTACCCTAGTAACGTCCACGTGTGATGGTGAGCCTCTGACTGAAAGAATTGAAGTCCAATGAATGAAAGGGGCGGGGCCAGGGACAATCAGGCTGAAGAGGAAAGAAATAGATGATGCTGGATGTCCTCCAGCCAGTAAATGAGGCGGGCCCTATGTGACTTGCTGCAGCTTCTAAAGCACATTGTGAGATTGTGAGTCTCACTTGGGATTACTGCACAGATCTGGAAGAAATACACGAAGCTCACCAAGATTCAGGAAGAATACACAGGACTTTTATATGAGGACAATATCTGCTGATCCCGGAGTTCAGTTTTTATATAAATCTCATAACAGACTGAATACAATGATTCTGCTTAGAGGACAATTCCAGCCAGACGCCAATGCAGCTGCAGTGTGTGTGTCGCCCCATGTGCGGCACGGCGCGTCCTCTGGCATCCTGCAATGTGGTGAAGTACACATCCTCTTCCAGCCCGACACATTGTAATTATGGCCAACATCCAACCGCAAGAGGTAGAGACCAGCACCAGACACTGGATACCGGAGTCACCGTGACCTCGGATCGGGTTCACAATGAACACTGCTACATACACACAAAGCTCAAGATTAAACCCTTCGATGCCCAGAACAAATTCAGCAGCATCGGTAATGGGTGGGTTCACCCGAATATATCTCTATACGCGACGGGCCAACCCAAGTCCATGTGTCACAGGCTGAGCACGCTCACTCACTGTACTGCATCAATGGAGGAGGAGAAGCACCATCACCCTGGGGCGGGAAGTGTGTTAGGCTTAAAGAGCATCTCCTCCTCTCCAAAATATGAGGGGGAGGGGTTCTGTAGTCCTAACGCTTTCCCTCCGAGTCGGCGTGTTCCTAGACCAGTCCCTTCTGCCTTGCTCCGCCCCCCCCCCCCCCCCGCTGCAGCGGTTTAAGGTCCCAAGAGGACATGAAACGCAGGAGGGACATGCCATCGCTGCAGAGGAGGAGAAGCAAGGATGAAGGGACTGGTCCAGGGGCGTAACCACAGATAACGGGGCCCCATAGCAAAATTTTGATGGGGTCCCCCACGACCTCCCTACTGTCAATGATATTAAAGTCAGGTAGCAGGAGAGCTGCCTGCATAGTCCCCCCCCTGTACATCTGACGTCAGGTCTTCTTGATTAATAATGTCAGTGTAAGAAGCAACTTCTGCAATCCTAATTGGGGCCCCCTTGCACCCCCAGGCCCCATAGCAGGGTGACAGGAGGACGCTAGGCTATTGTTACGTCACTGGACTGGTCTAAGGGGAAGATGACTCGGGGGGGTGTATATTATTAGCCCCAGATAAAAACAAGCACCTAACCCTCGCAGTGCCGGGGAATAGCCCCACTGCAAGGGTCATGAAAAAGTTCCCCCAGAGTTCTGCTTCAAATACCCCGCTCTGTTTTTGTGGTTGACAAATGGATACACATGTAAAAGAATATATATTGTATTTATTTTTCTTTTGATACTATAAATGTATCAGGCAATTGCAGCATTGAGCAGAGCAATTGTACTACTGCCGGGCTCCAGTGGCCTCGGCACACAAATTTTATTTTTTTTATTTTGAGAATGAAGCTTTCAGGCGACAGTGATCACATGACTGGAAACCGCTAACTGGTTCCTGATGGTGGGCGGGGATGAAGTCATCAGTGACCAGCAGGACTGACAGGAAGCAGCAAAAGGGGTTGACTAGCTGCTTTCAAAGGGATGATGCCAATGAATGTATCCTCGGCAGGAAAATGTTCATCTACAGCAGGGGTAGCCAAACTCCGGCCCTCCAGCTGTGGGTGAAACTACAAATCCCATGATGCATCTCTCTCCGGGAGTCATGTCTGTGAGAATCTTGCAATGCCTCATGGGATTTGTAGTTCCACCACAGCTGGAGGGCCGGAGTTTGGCTACCCCTGGTCTACAGACTGCGGGAGGGTAAGGGGGGTAAAAGCCGATCTGTAGCCACCCCAATAAAATTATATGAAGGCCTCATTCACACAGCATAGAGAAGGGACGTACAGATCCGTGCGGCGTGCACGGCCATATCAGGCTGTTCCTGGGAGGAAGAGGTGCTGCGTTTGATCCCGCCTGTTCTTCCCTATGGGAGGACGCGGCCGTACATGTCATACGCACACCCGAGCTGCACATCCGTGTGGGTGTCAGTGCTCAGACGCAGACAGGATCCATCCAGGTCAGAGTAGGGACACCCGCATGGATGTGCAGCTCGGGTGAGCGTACAGCCGCGTCCTCCCATAGAGAAGAACAGGCTGCTGCGTACAATCACACGCAGCACCTGTCCTTCCCGGAAACAGCCGTGCACGCCGCACGGATCTGTACGTCACCTGTCTACTCTGTGTGAATGAGGCCTTTATACCCGCAATGCCCCAAATTATGCTGCACAATGTTATTAGTACCTGTGAATTCACACAGCACAAGATGATTACCGTATGAATGAACTTACTTTCTTCACCTTCTGGAAGTATAACTCGGGGAGAGCGTGGAGCCAGTACGCCAACTGACACAGGTAGAAGAACTTCACCTGAAAACTAGAAAGAAAGGAAATTCAATCACAGCTTTATTAGGACGAGGACACTGCAACATAAAGTGACACCAACAAATACATCCAAGTCCCTTAACTATGAACAACACTGTATCTTATTTGTGTATGACTCGGCTGTAGATCCTCCAATCATCTCTGGATTGGTGCTGACACTGTCCTTCCTTCTGGAGGGGGGCTACTTGTGTTCTCCATGGTCCCTATGTGTGTTATAAAGTAGTCACGGCTCCAAGCTCCGCCCCCGGGATGGACTACAATCTCAATACAAATCAGTAAACTAAACACGAGATTGTCCATCCTGGGGGCGGAGCTTGGTGCGGTGACTACTTTACAACACACATAGGGACCATGGGGGACAAAAGTAGCCCCCCTCCAGAAGGAAGGACAGTGTCAGAGATGATTGGAGGATCTACAGCCGAGTGATACACAAATGAGATACATTGTTGTTCAGAGTTCAGGGACTTGGATGGACTTTTAGAATTTAATTCCTGAGCTTAGTGTCACTTTAAAAAAAAAAAATACATTGCTTTTGCATATATTTATAGAATTGATTGATATATTTCTAGTGAGGTAAATAGTAACTAATGCGTATGACCCATGTTGTAAATGTCTCTGGGCAATGTGCATAATATACAAGATAAACATGCATATTGATATTCCTCCAGAAGGTGGCGCTCTAGGTTCCTTTTATTGGGCTTTACAAGTGTAGTGCTCACCACCCCCCCCCCCCCCCCCCACCAGCGCCCAGACAGCCC